ATCCCTGATATCTATGATATCCCTGATACCTGTGATATCCATGAAGGAAGAGTCTGGACTGACTAAAGAACACAGTTTCTAGAATCCCAGAATCCCAGGATGGCTCGGGCTGGAAAGACCTTAAAGCTCATCTCATCCCACCCCCCCTGGGGTGGGCAGGGACACCTTCCACTATCCCAGCTTGCTCCAACCTGGCCTTGGACGCTTCCAGGAATCCAGGGGCAGCCACAGCTGCTCTGGGCAACCCGCGCCAGGGAGGAATCCCTTCCCAACACCCCCATATCCCATCCAACCCCTCTGGCAGTGGGTGGAGTGGGGAGCCCCCCGAGCCCCGCCGTGCCCGGCAGGTGGTGCAGCCGAGCCAACCCCGGGAATAAAGTCGGGAGAAGGAGCCGAAGGAATCGGGAGCGGGATGGGGCAGCGGGCGCGGGGAGGGAGCGCGTAGGGGCGGCAGCGGCGAGAGAGAACAAAGGAGCTCCGGGGCTGCGCCCACACACAACGCGACTCGCGGGGAGACGCTTCGCCTGCCAAGGGCTCGGCGAGGCACCACCTCATCCCGCCGCTCCCTCCTTCCCTCCCTCCCATGCTGGAGGCGAGCGGGGATCGTGGGAGAAGCGCCGGGGCAGCGCCGGGGTGCGCGGGGGTCCCGCCGGCCCTGCCCGCCCCTGCCCCGCACGGTGCCCCCGCCGCGGGAGAGCCCGCAGAGATTCCGCAGGAAATTTAAAGAGCATCCGGATCCGGAGAAAAGACACAGAGAGAGAGAGAGAGAGAGAAGAAAGAGGAAGGGAGAAAAGAAATCCAAACGCGGAGAGAGAGAAAGAAAGACCCCGCAGGAGGGAGGACGGGAGAGACGCTGCGCCCGCCAGGGATGGGGTGAGAGCGGCGCTTCGTTGTTCTGGGCTTTGCTTTTTTCGGTGGCCATGGCCGCTGAGCTGCTTTTTAAGGCAGCGGCGAGAGAAATCGGAGGTTTAAACGGCTTTTTTTTAATTTTTTTTTTTTTTTTCCCCCCCCCCCCCCCTCCACACGCTGCGGGTTTTTAAAGTTCAGCCCTTTTTATTTTAGGGGTTAGAAAAGCGAGGGGGGGGGGGGTGTGGGTCGCGAGTGGCCGCAACTTCTTTTAAATGAACTCGTGTGTGGAAGGGGAGGCTCCGCTGATCCCTGCGCTGTGGCGGAATCCAGACTGGGAGGGCTGGAGCCGGGTGGTGCGTTCGCAAACTTTCCCAGAAGTTCAAAATGAGGGATTTTGTTTGGCTGTTGTGTGACTTTGGCACTCGGTGACACGGGTCCTGTTTGCATTTCCAGCCGGATGGATTTTCCAGCCGCTGGAAAATCCCTGGTGATCCGGTTTACGATCCCTCCCCTCAGATTTTCCAAGAGTGAAATAATGCTGCATGGATGGATGTGGCAGCGGATTTTGGCATGGAAATAGGAGCTTAGTCTGGTATTTAATTTATGTCCTAGTTGTGAGTCTCGACCACGGAACTTTTAGGACCTGACATGTTGTGAGTTCCTTGTGCAATAAAGTCTCCGGGGCCGCTTGAAAGCCCTGCGGGTCTGGAGGAATCCTGCCTGATGATTCCCTCCAAACCTTTGGGGGTTTGGCAGCGCAAGGGAAACAAATCCGTTCTCGGGGACTTTGTTTTCCTCTCGTCGATTTTCCTCTTGGAATTTTATCCCCCCGGATAAAACGATTGAACAGTGAAAGGTTGATTTAAGGAGCAGGAGAGGCAGGAGTGAGGAATCAAAAGTGACAGTCGTGTGAGTCTGGCAGAAATCCTTTGAAGCTGGCAGAGCATGTGCTGATCCAGGTTAAATCACAGCGTCCCTATTTCCCTGCCACTTTTCCTGTGATCTCTGCAAAGTTACTGCAAAACTTCTGGAACTGCCAGGGAGGGTTTAACAAGCCCAGAGCTCGGAAGCAGAGCTTGAAATTGGAGTTTGTGGGTGAATCCTCCTTGGATCTCCTGCAGGCACACCCAGGGGCTCTGGGATTTCTTTAGGGGGTTTCCAGCTCCCATGGAAAACGTTGGGATGCACCATCTGGGTCTGCTGTGTGATTATAGTTGGTGGAGAAGCAGGACTGTTGTTAAGCCAGAGGTGACATTTCCATCCAAAATTCCACTCAGCTCTGGGGATAAAAGTGTGTTGGTCACACAGGGATGCTGAGCAGCTCCCAGCAGCATTTCCATAACTCTGGACACTACAGAGGTTGGAAGCACATCACCCCTCAGCTCACATCCAGGCAGCTGATCTCAGTTAACTCGGGTTTAAAGCAAGGATTCTGCTTTCGTCCTTCCACATGAAATTTCTTGGTAACGTTGTGTTTTGGGTGTGTTCTCCATGGATTCATCTGCACCCACTACGAGTATTGATGCATTGGCACTTCCCCTCTGAAAGGGGCAGTTGGGAATAACACCCAGTCCTGAGGGAAGTGAATTTAGTGACACCCAACTGAGCCCTGGGTGGGCACGTGCTCACATTTCTGAGCCTCTGTGGGTATCGTGAATTATAAATACAAGGAGGTGCTGAGAGGACTGTAAAATATAAACGCAGGGAGATGCAACTTACTGGCTTCTAATTTACCCCCCTGTCACATTAATTCTCCCCTCTTACCTGCACTGTCCTCCACTGAGCTCTGCTGCACAGGCAGCTCGAGCTGACCTTGTCCCAGAGGCTGTTCCTGCAGCCCTGGTTGTGTTCCTGGATCCCTGGTTGTGCTCCTGCAGCCCTGGTTGTGTTCCTGCAGCCCTGGTTGTGTTCCTGCAGCCCTGGTTGTGTTCCTGGATCCCTGGTTGTGCTTCTGCAGCCCTGGTTGTGTTCCTGCAGCCCTGGTTGTGCTCCTGCAGCCCTGGTTGTGCTCCTGCAGCCCTGACTGTGCTCCTGGATCCCTGGT